ACATCCTTCACCAGACTCTGTTGTATCCAATCGCCGCGCATCGTGAACATCATCCCATCCTCGCCGAGCGTTATCGAGTCTGCAAGCGGCATAAGAATTCCCAGTGTCAGTTTCGGTTTGCTTTGAGCTTAGTCGAGTAGGTCTCTCACCTGGATACCATTGCAAATCCGTCTTGGGATTGAAGATCTGCGGATTGCGGTGCTGCAGCTCCGCTTCGCTCAGCACCAAGTCAGTCTTTTTGGCTTTCAGATTTTTTGGCAAGCACAGCAGCAGCAACGGCGGCTTGTCGTACTTGGAGGCGGGCACTCGCAGACGGCCCGGACTGTTGGCCGGTATGAACTGTGCCAGCTCCAGCAGATCGCGAAACGGGTGCTGGCCGTCATGGTAGCAGAGCACCCACTGTCCGTCCTTGCGTAGGATCTTCAGTGTCTCTGTTTTGCAGCGCTCATGGTCGGTGTTTCGGCCGGTGCTAGAAAATGCAGAACAGAATTTTCGGATTCAATTAAAATTGGAAAACAGGGGAACCGAGCAGGGGAATAGTAAATAAACAAAAAACATGTCCTGTACATGACTGTTTATATTGCGCTTGATAGTGTACAATGACCTGCTCAACAAGAGAAAGGCTTCAATGCCGTAAAACTTTCCACAATAATTATAATTTATGCTTCATTTGTTATCTGTTTCTTCCTTGAGTTTCCCGGGAATTCCCTACAAGAAAAAGAGGGTCTCGGAAAGGTAGCATAAGGAGAAATAAATTTTAAAATAAAAGGAGAACTGTTCAAAATGTGTACTTAACAGTCCTTTATAGACTACAGACCCCCAGGACACCGCTTTGATCCACCCCAAGGTTCCATGAGTCCCAGAGCAATTGAAAGAAGTTTTCCAATAAAGAAACAGCTCGTGTGCCCATATCTACTCTCTTTCCCGAGGTACATTAAGGCGTCTACACTTTGAAAAATAATCTGTTCGGTTGAGAGCCTTATCGAATCCTCACAATCCATATTGTAATCTGTGATTCCGATGCAAAAGGGTTTCGAATAATCGTTTGTTGACCTCCAATAATGCTGAAGCCTCTGATATGAAGAAACCTGATATAAATTGAGATTAAGAGCCATACTCAAATGAACAAAGTGAACAAGATCACATAAAGTGCTGTAACGGAAGCTTTAAGCCATAATTTTCTTTGATCTGTTCGAAACGTCTGACAAATGAGCGGCGGAAAGCAAACACTGCATCGAGTTTCAAAGAAGCGCGTCTACCAGGATAAAGCTTTGGGTGTATAAATAGCATAAGATAACAAAGTCTCAGGTCCACGTCGCCCTGCCCTGTTGCTACCTCGTTGCACATACATTCTCGTGTTGATGTCAATGTAGTAAGTATTGTACTCTCGATCACATTGCCGTACGATGTAGCTGCCGCACTTGTCGCCATGCTCGTGCAGCTTCATCAGAGAATAATTGCCACCAATGGGCCCGTGGCAGCAGAGATTTCCAAGCTCCTCCAGCGAAGGTGTCCGATACGAATGGCACAGATCCTGCATCCATTTTACAGTCAATCTGTGTGGTAAAAAGGGAATTTTACAAAATATAGATGGATGGATGGATGGATGGATGGATGAATGGATGGATGAATGGTCGGCCACTCACCTGATGTATATGCCCAGATAAGAGATGAACGATTTCATTTCCTTTTCGGTATGAAAGTGCATCACATAGCCCTTGGGCAGGCCCACAATTTCCAGACGTACATCGGTATCATTGATTTTCGAGATCATAAATATCCCTTCAACGCCGCCCACCAGAATCCACTGCAAAGAAAACAACAACAAAAAATGCAACAAATGCCATAGCGGTGCGGTTTTTATTACTTCCTCTACTCTGGTTTCTGCGATGATAAGGCGGCTCTGTGGGGCATTTATTTATATATGAATTTCCGTTTTACACCGCCTAAAGATTACAATTATTCGTGAAATGGTCGGAAATCGTATATGCTCTCAATTCGAAAATTACTTTGAAAATTGTGCAAATATTCTTCATTAGAAACAGGCTTTGCTTTAACTGGGACTCGAACAGCGATTTTGCGTCCATATATGTATATATACATATATAGACAGAGAATAAGCATAAAAGTTCTTTTGTTTTTGCAGCTATGCCCTGGGCTTACTTTTAATTTTTTTATTTCTACAAGCATCGCCTGATATAAAGATCATTGTGAGGCACATCCTTCCATCTTTGATACCGAAACGTGATCCAGGGCAGCATATAGAGCTTCTTAACATTCTGTGACGGTTTCTGAAGACTGTTTATTGCCTTCTCACGTCCCGAATCTCGTCTTACACATAGAGCCTACTACAAAATGGAACCAAGCCACACCAAGGCCACAACCCTGGGCAGAAACTCTCGAGCGGCACTGCCATAGGACTCTACTTCGTTGTGCTACTCGTTTCTATGATATAAAGAATAGTCCCAAAGACACTAGACGCCCAAGAAAACTACATTTATGTTGTGTGCATGACGAAAGGATTGGTTTACTACCATCTAATTCCATTTAGTGATCTCTGTTTCTCCAAAAGGATCGGTTGTGTGTGTTCCGACCGCTTCTAAAGCCTATTCCGGCTAGCCGTATCTTTATTATATTTCTGTTGTTGTTTCAACCGGAATCGGTCTTGGGTTTTGAAGGAGCCTAAGAAACGAATTAATTCTCTAGTAATCACAGTTCGATTTTATTCAAAATTAATCCCAAAAAATCAATTTAAAAACACAGTATGTAAGATCTTTGAAATATCCGTAAATGAGATTGTTCTGTTTCTTGGGTGCCGGGAGTGCTTGGGTGGGCACACGTTTTGCCAAGTAAATAATATCGAAAATACCTAAAATTGCAAGCGCAAATGCTAATTGAAGAAGCAACGAGAGTCGGACTCTCAGTCTCGTGGCGGAGCCCGGAGGAAGGGAAGGGAAGGGAAGGAAGACGACGTTTGTTATACCTTGAGCGTGGCCTCTGATGTAACACGCGCCACCTTCAGTCCCGGCTCGGGAGAATCGTGGGGCCACAGTCTCACGTAGACATCGATGCCAGAGCTTTGGGCTCCTCCACGCGATTTACTGCGCTTCCCATTGCTCCTGGCCGTTTGACTGTTGTTGTTGGCGGTCAATGTGGACAGCGTGTTGGTGCTGGAGCTAGATCCCGTGGTCAGCGTGGTGGTGGATGTGCAGGTAGAGCTGGCCATGCTGGACCCACTATGGCTGCCGACGCCGGACATACTGACGCCCCCAGGCTCGCTGGGTGGATCCTCGTTGGGCAAATGATCGACCACGGCCGTGAACTGCTCGGTCATGTAGGTGGGGGCCAGGTGGCAGATCTGATGGATGTAGTGCCACTTCAGTTGGGCCGCCGTGTTGTTTGAGTTTTCGCTGAGTTTGCGGAAATACTCGCAGATCTTGGGACCCACGAAAAAGAAGTGCGCATTCCACACACTCTTGGGCAGGTACTGGCGGCACGAGCTCTCGATGGAGCGGGCCGGCAACTCCTTCTCCTTCAGGTCGATCAGCATGTCCATCACGGCCAGCCCCGTCACCTTTTCCTTGTGCTCTGGGTAGCGGATCTCTGCGATGTGCTCGTGCAGGTTATCGAAGCGCATCTGCCAGTAGAGGTACTCATGGCTATGCACATCGATCCTGTCCAGCTGGCTGTCCAGCTCTGGCACGCGGAAACGCATGCGAAAGCAGTAGCGGACTTGGCAGCTCAGCTTCTCGCCCGGCAGGACCCAAGTGTGGCCGTAGCTAAGGAGCTGGGCACGCGACGAGCGACGGGTGCCGAGGTGCTCGCGTATGCCGAAGAGCAGCTGGGCCGTGGGCAGGACTTTCAGTTCGCGGCACATGAATGTGCAGATCTCCTCGCAGAGCATGTCCGGCAAGAAGCGTTCAAACTCTTTGCTCTTATAGTTGTACACGTGAATAAGCCCATCATCCTGGTGGATGCTCTGGCTGGAGGTGCCGCTGTGGAGGGAGGTGGTCGTCAGGCTGGCGCTGTCCCCCAGCGATGTACGCCCACTGCTGCTGTCATCCATGGCAGCAGCTGGCTTCGCGTCCCCTACTCTGGTCCTGGTCCTCTTCCTCGTCGGTGGAACACTGTGCACTATTCTGCATCCAAAATGGGAACCGTGGCCGTTCGCTGTTGCCCGCCTTTACGCGCAGCGTCAGCAGTTGGTATACGCGCGGAGCCCCAAATTGGAATCGGGTCAACAGAACTAACTTTAACTTTAGCTTGAACCTGCAGTCGAACAATAAAAAAAAAACCGGAAAACCGAAAGCAAAACAGCACAAGCAACAAATTAAAAAAAAAAAAATTAGGTTCGATTCGTGGATGGATGCCGTTCCTTTATTTACTTTTCCCGGTCACAGGGTTTAATTTGTATTGCATCGCCTAAGCGCGCGCAAGAGGTAGAGCATTATCAACAGCCACCGCGAGCCACAACGCACAACGCGACACAATAAAGCGAACGAAATCACCAGTCACGGCAAAATATTTATTAATTTTTTAGGTTTTATGTTGTTTTTAGCGTTGGTCTTCAGTGTGACCGTGGACTTGTCGATAAGAAGTATATCGAAATATACCGCACAGTTTCAAAATATACTGACGAATTAATTGTACTCATATTCCTCTATTTTGATATTCGGTTGGATATTACCAACTAGCTGGATCCTTTGACCTGAATACATTATTTTATTCGATTAACATACAAATTAACATTACATTAACATATGTACATATGTAAGACCGCGGTAAGACCGATAAGATATGCGGTCTGACCCCCAGATATCGACGGCACAGTATCAAAATATACCAAAAATATACTGAGGATGTATTCCGAAACATATTCGGTTAAAGATTACTAAATAACTAAGATCTGAGGGTCCTGAACACATAATAATAACACATAATTTTATCCGATTAACGACCCAATTTCCTGCAAGACTGGCGTTAAAGCTGGCGTTTTACAGCACTAATACGTAGCAGCCTTGGTATTTAACATCTGATCTGCCAACAGTTTGGCAACACATCTACTGCCATACGACGGAATTTATATAACCTCAAATCCAAAAATTCAATTTTTGTGACAAAACTCTACATTTTGTTCACAGAAAATTTGACGTGAAGCGCCCACAACAATCAAGCCAAGATGTCTGATTTTGAGACCGACTTGACGAGCAGCGACAAAGAGCTGCAGGAGTTTCTGATGATGGAAAAACAGAAGGCGCAGGTCAATGCACAGGTATGTTACCACCCACTGGAGCCCCAAGACAAACCGACAGCGGAATGTAATCAAAAATCAAACACAAAATGTGAAAAATGGCAATGCAAATCCACAGATACACGAGTTCAACGAGATCTGCTGGGAGAAGTGCATTGGAAAGCCCAGCGCCAAGCTGGACAGCGCCACAGAGACGTGCCTGAGCAACTGCGTGGACCGCTTCATCGACACATCGCTCCTCATCACACAGCGCTTCGCGCAGATTCTGCAGAAGCACGACATGTAAGGCCGGAGGAAGCATCCATTTGGCAGCCGACAGCCGACCCAATGGACAGGACTGTCTTTGTGTTGCGGCTGCTGCATCCAATGTCCTACTGTTAAAACTATTTTTAAAAAACTACCAAGTAAGAATTTTTTTGATGTGTCTTCGGTTGGACGGACCCGCGGACCCATGTACTCCCCTTACAAACCAAGAAAACAAACCCTTCCGTTCACCCGGCAATATTCCACAAATTGGACACGCCTCTCAATGCCTAGACAGCAGCCGGTGCTAATTTTCCCCTCTGCCAGCCGCCGTGCCATGCCTGTGGGCCATTGGAGGGACGACGTCGACGACCCACAAAAGCCGCCAGTACAACTTCAGTGTTCTATAGCCCCGTATATAATAACAATATATACATAAATATATGGTTCTGTTGTTGGCTTAAAGTTAGTTGGAATGAAAACATAATAAATGCTACCTTTTGACTTGGGGTTTGTGGTACGCTACGTCCATTTAGAGTTGTTGTATAACGTCGGGAGTAAGAAGTTCGGTTTGCTTTGTGTTCTTTTATTCTAGGTTACAATTCTTATGTTAATCGGAGAGCGAGGTTGTTAGTGGATGTTATTGGTTGCTTATCGTTCCTGTCAGTCGCCGATCATGGCCGATCGGAGCACTTGTACAGCTGCTGCCTCTTCTCGTCCCAGGGGTTGCGTTTGGCCAATTTAAAGTGAGGGCCCATATCCAAACCCAACTCTGTCCCATGCTCCGCAGCGGTAATGATCGTGCCGAGTGAACGAATGTGCCCCTTGGACTTCACGGCACAGAAAATTCATTAATTTACTGCCTCTGACAGGGCTGGCGATTTCAACTTTTCCTATCATAAGTTCGCTGCTTACGACACATTAAATCATTGATGCAGATCATCTATTTGGAAATAACAATCACAAAATCGGATGTGAAGTCGGCTCGAATATTGTAATTTCAAAAAACCCGCCAAATGCGTTCCATTTGAGCCGAGAGAGAGAGAGGAGAGTTTCTACGCGCTCTTTGATCGAACCGGTTGAGCGAACTCGAACTTCAACTCGAAATGTAGTGTAGATGTAGAATGTAGAATTCATTTTCTGCAATATTCCCGAATATTCGAATGTTTGAGTCTATTCCGTCGCTGCGTACGCATTTATGTTAACTCATACAGCTGAGTGCTAAAAACTATGAAGCCAAAACACACTCGCATTCATATAAACTAGATTCATTGTATGAGTCGCACTCATTCAACTTAATTCAGTTCGAATGCATTCTATTGGAGTAATACTTTGAATGGAGCCATGCAGATCTCCAATACATACATATGTACATATGTAGTCAAATTTGAAAGCCCTGAACCGTTACATAGACAAAATAAAAGTAGAGATGAAAGCAAAACATCGATACTGTCGATAGTGCCCTCGATGGTTTGACAACTCTAACTCGAACACTTCATCGATAAGTGCTCTCTCCTAAGACGGAAAAATGAGTCGTAGTTGTGAATGAGCTATAACAAAGGGTATGGACAACAGGCAAAAACAGCCAAAGAAAATTGCAATTTTCGTACGAACCTCACCTCACTAGTGAGGACAATAAGCATCGAAGACAAAAGCGGCCAGGTACATTGCGCAAAAGGGGTGGAGTTAGCATGAGTTAGCTTTTCTGGGGGGTTTTGCCTCTTGGCCATACCCTCTTTTTCCTTCCATTATGTAGCAAATGTGTAGATACTGCGTAGTTGCCATGTCGTAAGTATCATTGTATAAATAGTTAATTGCATAAATTGTTTCGCGGCGGACGTAAACAACCGTGTGGTTTTGCCGACATTTTTTTCCTGAATTTAGAAATTTCCGTTGATATCTCCCACAAATATATCCATATCGAAAGTGGGGAAACTCGGAGCCGTGACAACAACAGAGAGCAGAAATAATGTCAGATTTTTCGTAAATTCAGAAAAGTCCGTTGATATATCTATCCCACAAAAATACCGATTTGATATTTATCAGAAAAGGATATATATGTATATCAATATCATTCGATAACATCCCTGCCGCAGGCTCTGTGCCAAACGCATGTCCTTTTGCCTGTGAGTGTTTCTGCAAATAGTAAATAGTGCTCCCAACGTGCTCTTGTATCCTGTAATCGAATGCTGGAAAATCGGTAAAATTCAAAAGGTCGGTCTCCCCCACCTTGATGCACGCGCTCCATCGTTTCGAGTCATCCTCCCAGGATATGTAGAGCGATACACACACACACGCAGTATACTGTTTTTAGAGTCGGTGCGTGTTTTTTTTTGAATATATGTAATACGCATACATATGTACGTTGTGTGTGTGTTTGTGTGTATGCAATGTCCGTGTGGGTTGTTGTAATTGTAAGGGATGTTGTGCCTGTGCGGCAGCGCAAATATATGTTCTCGTATATAAAAAAAGAGCCAGGAAAATCAAAAAATTACATGCAAATTAAACAACTGCGGTAGCGGATTGTGTTTTTAAAAAGTTTTTATTTTACTTCGAACTTCACTGATATAGATTTAAGTAGAGGGTCACAAAGGAATTCCGGGCCAAGGGATTGCGCGATCTTAATATTTAGCTAGACTTTGCGGTGTCGCTGCTGGATCAAGACTGATTTGAACTTTCTGATCTTTGCATCGTTGATCCCTTTCGGGAATCGTTTTTCTATAAACATTTCAATTGATTTCGCCATCCCGAGTATTAGATTTCGTCATCCAAAGAGAGAACTGTAAAAGGCCTAAAGTGCAGGATCTGCAGAAAGCCGGGAGTGAGATTGTTTATGAGAAGCCGGGTGTGGGCAAACATTGGTTTTCCATTTAGGCGAGTGTCAAAGAATGGGATTGCGGCGGGGGCGCTTGAGATTGTACATCTTAGAAATCAATTAGGCGGAGGCCCAAGATTGAAATTGTTTTCGTTTTGGAAAACCAAAGATTGTTTACAACTCGTATAAGAGCTCAATGGAATTGGGTACGTTAACTCCCCCCATTCTTAAATGTTTCGTCCCGATACATTTTGAAGTTCTGATAGAGCTCTAATTTCTTCTGACAGTATTTGAATGTTGCTTTCCACTATTTCTTCTGACGGTATTCTTATTGATTTAATAAGTACAAATTTGGTTAATTTATAGCAGAAGTAAAATAACATTAACAATATCAAAATGATTAAAAATAATGTTGTTAATGGTAAGGCCGTATTACCTAATGTTATAAGGGGATTTAAAATATTAACATTATCAAAAGAAAATTGCTTATCATTTGATTGTATATAATCAACTAATTCAAAATCGCTATATCTATGATGCGATATATATTTTAGAATTTTACCCTTATCATTTATGTGGCTTATATTATTTATTACAATTGTGTTGTTGAATATAAGGAGATACGATCCTAACAAAGTAGTATTGTCTACGATATTTTTGCCTGAAACTAATATGGCACCATCCTGAATGATGTCTATTTCTTTGTTTTTTTTTCCCTTTTTTTAGTGCAGTTGGCTTTAAAGCCATTAAGTAAATTGGTGAAACAGGTACTCTTTAAATTTATTTGTGCGTAATTGTTAAAAGTTTCACTTTTAAAATTATTCATTAAATAGTATTTCTCCTTACATTCACAAACTTTTTCACTTATAACTAACATTCCATCATTTTGTGAGATGGCTCTTGCATGGTAAAACTTGCAAATATCTTTAATTTGAGGATATTTTATGTAAATGATTATTAAATCTGCATTTCGAATTATTTTAACCGTTGCAATGTCCAACAGATCAGACAGTTCAACATTATGTTTTTCATGCTTATAAATGTCCTCTATTTCGTTTTTATTTAAAATTTTTGTATTGAAAATGTTTACTTTTAAGAGGGTTATGGTATCAACTAAATTTAGTAGGTCAAAAGTTATTAATTTTAAACGATGCTTTCTCAGTATCGTTTCTTCATTGAAGATGACATTCTTTAATGAATTTGATAGCAATTCAATTTCTTTGAAAAATTTGGAATTTATTACAAATTGTTTATTATTATTTTCAGTTAATTCATTTACTTTATTTTGTATTTTCAAAAAGTCGTCATGATCAGGGCTGCCTGCTATCCATTTCCAAATGGTACCTAATTCATTTATTCCCCTTTCTTTCCGTTTTGGAACTAATTCTGAAATCATTAATTTTAATAGACTTAAGTCCATTGATATTTCCCACTCATCGTCTGAATTAATTGATTTGTTGACATATTTGGATTCTTTATCAATTATCTCTCTATAAAAACTCAAATTAGTAATATGGAAAAGTTCAGCGTATGTTTCATAAGTGTAAACGTCTCTGTCGTCTTTGAGCAATAGATAGTCACTATGCGTATAGTCAATTACTTCCGCAGTCGTCAATATAACAAAAGTCAGTATTAGTATATTCGCATACATTTTCTGGAAAAAATATTTAATATTTGATGTTATCTTTATGTATAATTCTGTTTCTATTGTTGATTATAATTTTATTCGGTCGATTTTCCTTAACTACCTGCTTTTTGTATCGGGATTGAAGTTTATTTCTTTCCCCGAATTTCTTTTCATAGACTACTTCTCCTATTTTATAATCTTTTTCTCTTCTATCTTTGTTATGTATCTTAAGCATTTTGGTCTGAGCTTCCTTAAGTAATATTGGATTATGTTTGTGTTCTATTTTGTTATACAATATGTCATATGGCATTTGATTGGTCGTTGAATGTATCGTCAGGTTATATTTCAGTGCCGCCCTTATTATTATTTCTGAATAATCTGTTAGATTTAGTTCATCCTTGATGCACCGCGCTATTTCTGTTAGTGTGGAATGTACCCTTTCTACCTGACCATTTGAGGTGCTGTGTCTGGGATCAGCATAATAAATAGTTAAGTTACTTCTTTGTATGAATGATCTAAATTGTGCTGAAGTAAAGCTTGGTTCGTTGTCAGTCATTAATGATGTTGCTAACGGAAAGTGTTGTAAAATTTCCATTACCTTATTTTCAATGTTTAATTTACTTTGAATTTCCTTGACCACCAAGTATTTGGAATAAGAATCTATACAAGTTATGAATGTTAGGTTTTGGGCATAGTATATGTCTAAGTGTAATTGATCTCCTTCTTTTGCTGGAATGGGAGCTTCCCCAATTGGAATTTTTACAGGGTGTCTCCGATATTTGTTTTTGTTACAGATCTCACAATTTTTTATATATTCTTTTAATTTTTTGTGCAGGTTTGGCCAATAATACAGCTTAGTTATTTGTTTGTAATTTTCGTCTAGTCCTCTATGGGCTCTGCAATGTGTTTCTTCTATAATTATAGCTTTATCTTCTGAATTTACTACATCTTGGAGGAACTTTCTTGTGAAGAGAAATTTATTTATGAAGTTTTCCTTTAGCTTATTTTGGATAAGGTATAAATCTTCTAAAGTGCAGTGTATTCCTGTGGTTAAGTGAGGCT